TGAGGTATATGTAGCCCTAGATCATACATATAAGGCCACCTGTTTCAAAATATAAGAAGCAGCATTAAACAGAACAGGAACAATTTTCTTGTCTTTCAAGGTTGTTGACTCTGGAGACGGCGTAACACATTGTATACCAGTTGCGGAGGGATACGTCATAGGATCATGTATCAAGCATATTCCCATTGCTGGTAGGGACATCACTTATTTCATCCAACAGATCTTGAGGGATAGAGAGCCTACAATCCCGTCGGATCAGTCCTATGAGGTGGCAAAGGCGATCAAGGTGGGTTGTGTTTGAGCTTCGTAGTTGCTTGAAACTGTCATATATCATATTCCATACAGGAGAGGTACTGCTATGTTTGTCCGGATATTCTCAAAGAATTTATAAAATACGATACCGATGGTTCAAAGTGGTTGAAGACCTATCACGGTATCAATAATATCACCAAGAAGGAATTCGTCGTCGATGTAGGATACGAGCGCTTCCTTGGTCCCTGAGATTTTTCTTCCATCCTGAGGTTCACTTTCGTTTCATGTTGTTATTCGCTAGAGTAATTATGGTAATTATGTCCGATTCGCGGCACATAATCCCTTCTTACGAAGTGTTGTTTGCTTTCAGTTTGCTAATCCTGACTTTACAACGCCGATTTCGGATACGATCGATAATGTTATACAACAATGTCCAAAATTCGATAGTCCGTCGAGGCTTATATGAAAATATTGTGCTATCAGGAGGTTCAACTATGTTCAAGGTAATCCAGGCAGAAATAATTTCATAAGTAGCGGCATTGCATGAGAAAAAACTACCATCTCTAACGTAGGTAGCACTGTATGAGAATGATGAAGGCATAAGAATGTTGGCATGACCGATTTTCTTTTTGAGATGTGCCGTCGTGCGTTTAACTTCCTTTAAGAAGGTCGGTGGCTTCAAATGCGATTATGCGCTATAGTGACTTTAGAGCGAGGATTTTCGATATACCTTAGGGGGTTTCACAATCGTCGTGCGATGTAACGATCGCACGCAGCGATGGAGAGAGTAGCGATATTGTGCGATGCTGTCGAATTATGGCCTGATGGTGACACTGGATCTAAGTCTTCTTAAGGGAGATCGTCACGGTCGTTACGATTGGGCGACGGACTACGAAAACGCCCGTAGTGTTTTATAGTTCCACACTCTGATACCAATTAACTGACTTCGGAGGGATGGATGGTTCGATTGGCTTCGACAGGATCCGCTCCAGGATTTCCCTTCCTACCCGTGCGCATGGTAAGCTGTGCCCCTGGCCGTTACACCTCCACCCAAGAAAGGCGGCACTGATGGTTGTTGGGGCTGCTGTGTCGCAGTGAGTGAATCAGTGACGGTACGCGTAGTTGGCGTGGGCGTTTGTGGTTTGAGCTGCACCGCTTCCTTTCTGCCTCACAACCATACAAGCTAGTTTTGACCCCCTTTATTATTTATCCGAGAATGGTTACTCTTACTTTTTTCAAGTGATTTCCTACTGTTTCACCTCTCAGCTCAAGCACACCATACTTAAGGACTTCGCTCGTAAACTACAGCGAGATATCAAGCGAATCAGTGAGAACAGGCTTGCGATCAGTGAAGCTCTGAGCGGCGGGCACCTTAAGGCGAGTTTTCAAACATATTTATAACGCCGAGCCGTAGACCTCCAAATAGCAAGAATATCCATTTATTGCAGCCGAAACATCGATGGTCACAGTAATATCAACAAATCGGCAACATACGCCGTGTGCCTCGGAGGTTCAATGTTGGCCTTCCACGGTATGTTATTGTTTGACAGCATGCTCCAGTGATATTTTCTGTTTTAATGGGCTTTAGATTCCACAGCTATTAGGTTTCCCACTAGTTTTTACTTCTTCTTTGAATCCCTGCTCGGCGTTCCCCACTTCGACTGTTTTATGACTGCTTTTCAGCCTGAGTTCTACAAAGTTTCGCATACGAAAGAAGAGTACATGGAGAAGGGCCCTTCAATTTGTCGGCACAATCCCGTTTTTGGAGCGCTCACTTAATCATGCTGTTGATCAAACTGGCTATTTGGTTTATATGAACGATTATCTTCGTCACGAATTTTATTTTTGCATGAGTTTCATTAACTTATTTTCCTTTGAGTCATTGTATTCCTTTTGTGCTTTATAGAGTGATTCCGTTTATGCTGCTTTGACATTCGCCTTTGTTGTTTGTTGTTAATTACAATTGAAACCTTGGCTCTTGATAACATTGTTGGAGGCATTGCTAGAAGCGAAGGAAATGTCATCTGTCTTTGAAATATGTGCTGATTTACACAAACAATGCCTTCAACTGGATGACTCACGTCATGCAATCTCCAATTCACTTGTATAGTCTTAGAAAGTTGGAATAAATTCTTTATGAATCAGAGCACCTGAATATGAATCATTCAGGTGCTCTGAATATTGTCTGGTGTCTATTTTCACCTACCAGTGCCGAGAAAGTGGCAGCTTTAGTGCTACCTACACAGTTGCGAATTCGGGACCGGCACATCGAGCAAAACATGCATACTGGTCGACACAGTGCGCAGTTTTGTGCTTGAGATTCGCACAGATGCTAACAGCTGACAGAAGAGACACTCAACCCTTCTAACATGCTAATCTTCTTCTTTTACAGCCGAGGAACACTGTCGCAATATGCAGCAATATTAAATGGCAACGGCTTAGAGTGCACTTTTGGCAAACATAGAGGCAGGTTAAGTTGATGAAGGGAATCGGCACTAAAATACATAACTGTTAAACAGCATACCTCAGGCAACTGAGACGCAAAGTCTTCAAACTTCCTGAGCTGATTGACGATTCCTTTAAGAGTGAGGAAATGTTCGTGTAAATCGAGACACGAAAGTACGTCTTCAACCTTCTCGCTACGCTTCGTAAGAGGGATCTTGAATGTAGTTAAATAAGCATAGAACAAGAATAGGTCTATTGCTTACACTACCTTATTTTCATTCGTATTCATCAGCTTTATCAAGGGTTCGTTGGTGGTATCGCTGACAATTCTGGAAGTAAAACGTAACTCTGCCATCGAAACTGTTTTGTAAGGAAGAAGCCAGAAACTGCTCCAGCATTCCAGGTACCAAATACCAACCGAGATACTGGAGGATGCTGTCTAACGGATTTGCGCCTCTGCAGTTTTTGTAAATACTTCTCCGTGTGCTTTTCGAGAGAACACAATGACTTGGCATAGTTATTCTGCAAGAACGATAAAGACCAACATGTTGTGAACAGTAGTAAACGGATTTGATTAGTACTGAGCACCAACCTGATCACGTTCTAGTAGTTTCCTCTGTCCCTTGAATGCTATGTCTAGGAATGGTTCCGAACCAGGAATTCCATATCTTTCAAACATTGATTTCATGCGGTTTTGCCATTCTTCTGTTATTTTTCGCAATTCCGTTTCGGCACTAGGATTATTCTGAAATATTTCCACTTGGTTTTACCCGAAATGTTCACCCTGCCAAGATCCAGTGAGTTTGAGAATCTGAATCTCATTGTGACATGAGGAAACAGATAGCAGATTAGCAATAGCAAAAAGATAAACATTGTAATACCGGAGTAAAAAGACTAAAAAAGTAATAACAAGCCTCTTGACTCTCTCTTTCATCTGTGTCCAAATTTTGAAGCGCTTTTCAAAAATAAAGAAAATAGCTCCGGAAGACTGCAGCAAGAATGGTTTTTTGTGGAAGGTAAAGCTAACTTCTTTAGAAAAAAATGACTTAGTTCACGGCTATGCAATCGGCCTTGTGCTTCATGACTTAACCCTCGCTGTTGCCATTACAAGTAGCGAATATCGAGAGAAAATCATCGGAACATGTGAGATGTGTTTTTTTCGAAGATTCGAAAGGAATGGCTATTTCCAAAATTCTATAATTGCGTATATATCGGAGGATCAAGCGCAATGTTCTAACGGCCGCTACCGTCACTGGCGATTTTCACAAAAGCGAGTATGATTACTCGGAAATCAGAACTAACCGTAGGGAGATCGGACGGTTTGAGCATAGCACTGAGAAGACGCTGGTACTGACTTTGGCAGGAGTCACTCGTCTCCGACACAAAGATGGGATCCAACTGGCTGAAACAGTGTAAAACATGAGGAAGCAATAAAGCAACGAAATTGATTGAGATTTTACGGAGATTTCCTGAACGTAGGTACTTCCAAAAACATGTAAGAGTTAGCATACTTGAGAAACACGATCCTGCCACATCTTAGGCATTCCAACTTCGATTTTAAAAAATTCTCATGAAAATAGGCAAACAGAGAAACAGTAGATGCTGATACTCACGGTGTGCTATGGTGTTCATCTGTTGAAGAAGTCGATGTAACGGCAGCTGAATGAATGTGGTTGCCATCCAGAAAATGGTACAAAAAAGGACGTGTTTGTAGCCCAATGTTTAATAAGGGATAAACGGAATAAGTATTCCACCTTGATTGGCATTTGAGATCGTTTCTTTTGCAGCGGCCATTCGAATATGATCCAAACTGTCTAATACCTGCTCCTCCAATGGCGAAAACTGATCTAAAATTCGTTTGCTTTATTACTAAAAATATTTGGAGTAAATTCAGATATTCAAAACAAAAAACCAGACAACAGAAATTTAAAAAATTTGGAAAATGGAAAAATAAGATTTTCGAAATGTAGACGTTGAGGTGTAGCCGAAACGAGATGATTTCGACCTTGACTAGCTTTCGAGGTGGTTTCTCTTGCAGTAGAATCCTGCACCACATCAGGGCTCTCCGATACTTGCGGTTGTGACGAAATCCGACCTAAAAACGGATTGAAATTTTTTTTCACAAATTTGGAGAAATTTTTAAAGAGATCAAAATTGCTGAAAGTCTTAAAGGTATCGTGCACTTGGCATGCATGAAACAAAACTTGAGATAAGCCACTCTTAAATGTTAGGATATACTAAATAAGCTATCCGTCTTGCCCACCATGAGAAGAAGTCGCAACGCCATCCTGAGACTGACTGCTTTCCGAAATTTGCGGCTGAGGTGGAGAAATTTGGTCTGGAAGATGATTAGAACAATTTACTACTTGCAAACAAACTATGTGGCTAGTTTTGAATTCTTGGCGAAACTAGCAAGAGACCAATTCCTGCCTTTTCCGAGTTTCACCAACGCTTGCTTTCGAACCGGCGAATGGTGATCTCAGAGAATCTTCAGCTGTTGAAGTCAAGCCACCTTCCGTAAGTGAAAAACGCACCCCCTGCCTTGTCGCAGCTGGTCTCCCCTTTGACCGCAGCAGTGCTACTCAAACTGCTCAACGGCACACCTTCTCACCTTTTATAACCTCTTCCAATGAAATAACCGGCTATGGTATTTTGCTTTGGTATTTTCATTTACAAGCGAAGCGAGGAACTCTGCTGGATAGAGTTGCGGAAACCTACTCAGTATTGAGTGAACCGCTTGCACTCCAGATACCGTCGCTCGTGGATTACAGCCACGGCTCTGACGCAGATGCACTGTTTACCCATGTATCAGGGGCGTAGTAGAGCCAGGCAAACAGGGGAACATAAAGGATTTGCGCGAAAGTCCGGATCAGCGAGACGTCCTTATGTGTCAGATATCCAGAAGCTTCATCCGCCGCTTTCTGTCGCCTTTTCAGCTTGACAGTTGTAGTGTGCCGATTGTTAATCATGTGGAGATATTTGGTTAGAGGTCAACAAAGTATGATCACTGTTAAAAAAGAAGTAAAAAAAAAGTTTCAAGAGTCCCATCCTTCTCAGACACAAAAAAGGAAGAGTGTTCATGAAGATTCTGTGAGATTCCTATCTCCGGAGGCTACCTCACAAGCAAAAAACATAAGGAACGAATCCGATACATCGTCCACCGAGCATAGACGATAAAAAACTACGATATGGAATTACCTAGGATTCGGCTGGGACCAGCAATGCATGCGGGAGAAGATTGAGTAGGTGAGGGATCCTCCCCAGGTGAGTCGAAATCCTCATCATGAATCTGTAAATGAACAACTGAAACATAGAAAACAACAGCAACTTGTGAAGTGTGGCTATACTGTTTCTCACGGGAGTGGGGGGGGGTCTGGGTCACTAGTGCAGATTTAGTAACACTTTGACATCAGATAGCCTCAAGAACACCAGAAGGTACTTATAATATAATTAATTAATTATTGTCTATTTTTTGGAGAAATACATCGTACGAGTTCGTCGTGCCACCGAGTTCGCGATGCCGATTTACTACCGCCGGAGGGATACACATGGAAATCAATGAGATACAAAATGAAGGAGTGAAAACGAAAGCATAACACGTAAACCCCACTTCATCAGGTCTTCGCTTATATCGCACCTCGAATCGACTGTTGACAAGAACATCGTTAACTTGTTCTGAAACCAAGAAAACAAACAGTTATAATTCATAACCAACGCGAACCTACGACAGACCAAATGGCTCACGTGTGAAATTCAAAGAGGAATTTAGCCGTCGTTTTGGAGGAGGTGTTAAAGATCCTGTTCTGCTTGAGATATAAGGCTCGTCCTGTGCTCGTTCATTAGAAGAAGCAGGGTTCTGTGATGAGTGATCTCCTGATAATATGAGCTCTTAGCAGGAAATCTGACCACAGTACTCTTCCACTGCATATATCGTTTGAATTACCTTCAGAATTTTCTTGATTGCTTGGTGGCCGCACAACTGTCTTGATGGTTTTCACATGATGATCACTGTTCAGCTCAATTTCCACAGTAAACTTCAATTCGAGCCTATATTAAGTGAAAGATTAAATGAAAGATAAAAAGAAAATGCAGCTTTCAATTT